AGTCAGATGGTGAGGTTCAAAGTCAGCTGGTGGGGTTCAGACAGCTGGTGGGGCTCAGAGACTCATGAAGGAAGCCAGGGTAGTGGCTTCTACACCATGTCTGGGCAGCTTGTTCCATACCCCCTCAGCCCTGTTCCACATGGTTTCCAGTCGCGTTCCCTCGGTTCGTGTGTTACTGTTTGCTGTGAAGATGGCCTCTGAGGGCCTCGCGGTCTTCAGGACAGGAGCACCGCAGTCCGTGGAGCTGAACTGGAGCTGTCACGTGACAGTCACGAGCTGTCGGTCCTGCTCTGCTTCCTCACCAGGCCTGCAGCTGAGGCTGGGGCGACCGGCCCGGAGAGAAGCTGGACTGACTGTTCTCTCCCAGCTGCACTGCTCTGCGACGGGCCGGAGGTCTGGGGATTGTTCACGCTCAAGCCCAAGCACACACTGCCTGACGCTGAGACGGCCTGTTGATTTGGCAGGGGGTCCTAATTTTCTGGCCAGGGGATATAGTGCTTTCCTGCGAGGACACTAGAAGGACACAGGCATAGGTGGGGATCGACTGTCCTCTCTGGAGGTTGGGGTGAAGATGACAGGAATAGTGCCTGCAATGGGCGGGGCGGGGCCAGTGTAGCTGAACTGGGAATACTGGGAATACTGGAAACAGTCCTAAAGGGGCATTTTCAATATACAGTACAATGTACAGAAAGGGCAGAGAAAGCAATTCAATGCCGTACATTTTGAAATAGAATGGGATTTCAGGCTCTAAATGACATTTAATTGTGACTTTCTCTCTCACATCCAGCCACTTTAATGGTGTTTAATGTTCTTGTCTTACTGACAAAATCAAAAGGAGGAGCCTTTGCCAAAGTATTAAACATAGTTTTTGAAAGCTGCGGCCATTTTCCTTCCTGAGAAACGGCCTTTTGGCAGGAACCACCTCACTGAGCACAGAGAGAGAAAATGAAGAAGCTGGAGTATAAGGTCTGTCTGTGGACCAGTTTTTATTTAGAAGCAAAGAAAATAAAACATCCCGCAGAAATGCCTTGGATCTGTTTTGAAAAGCTACAGGACTGGGGCTCCAAAGTCACTCCACCTCCGCAAGGGCCTGAGTCTACAATCCAGACAGCTGTGGCCAGAGCCGGCCTCTCCGAGGAGCAGACGAGCAGCTCCAGACAAGAGGAGCCATTCTTTCCTCCTGTCCTGCCTGGCCGTTAGGCCTGAATCGATCCCAGGATCTCATCCAGACGTTTCTTGAAAGAAGCCAGGGTATTGGCTTGAACCATGTGGCTTGTTCCACTCCACCACAACCCTTCTGGTACAGAAGCGCCTCCTGTGCTCTGTTTTAAATGCACTTCGGCACATGTTCCAGTTGTGTCGTCTGGGTTGTGCTTCCCAGTTGGTTCAAGGCCTTTGGGGATTTTGAATACGTGGATCAGGCCTCCTTGTAGTCTTCTTTGTTCAGGACTAAAAGGTTCAGCTCTTCCAGCTCATCGGTGCAGTTCACTCCCTAAATCCCAGGAGTGTATCCGCTTGCTCCTCCGTGGGCAGATTCCAGAGCTGCCGTGTCTTTCCTCTGCCGTGCCGACCACATCTGTTCACAAGATTCTGAAAGAGGTCTTACTGATGCGTTCTGCAATTGCAACATTCCACCCCATGTTATCAATTCTACACTTTCCACATACATCCCAGCATTATGTGTGCCTTTCTAATTACTTCCCTGCTGTGCCTAGTAATTAGAGAGGAGACGCACAGTCAGAGCTCACAGTCACGGTCAGGGCGCCGATCAGGATTGGGGTGCACAGCACTTCGGAGAACCCCCTCCCTCCTCGGGGTCCCAACAGGAAAGGAGATTCAGGGTTTGCAATCCCACATGGTTGGGAGTGGGGTATCCTGCTGGGTGCCGTTTCCCATGGATGCGCTTGGATAACCTTGGCAGGTTAGGTGCCGATCGCCCGGATTCCGAATGGGAATGGGAACCCATCTGTGCCGCACGGGCACTGACGGGGCAGGCCAGGACCTGCAATCACATCCCACCCTCGTGCTCCCTGCCAGCCCCGGGGATCTGCCTTCGCTCCCAGAGCCGACTCGAAAGCGAACGGGAGCAGCAGGTCGGACAGGTCCCGTCAGTGACTCCGTGTTTCCCAGAAGGCCAGGGCTGGGGGCTGTGTGTCTGGAAAGAGCCTGCGTGGATCCGATCAGATCCCAGAACCAGCTTGCGGACCTGACTCCATTCCACACGGGCGGCAGGCGGCCCAGTGCTGGTGGTGGGCAGGGCTCCAGCCGTGTGTCTGTGATCCCAGAGCCGTGGGACAGTTTGGGGTTTTAACCTTGCGATTAATCCTAAAACGCCACCTCCTTTCCAAGATCCGGGCTCTTCTGGGATAATTGTAATCTAAAAGCAGGACTTTTAAAATAGCCATAACATTTTAGCCATCTCACGCTGAGGTCAGGATTCTATCAAGAACTGATTGGCCAGAATATAAAATTAGAATCAACCCTAAAATATCCTTAAATATATAATGTATATAATGGTTGGACAATTGAGCTAAAGGGCTGAAAATTAATTGAGATATTTCTATGTCTGCACCAGTGCAGTCTGACTGGTCCAGTTTATGAATTTGGTTGCGTTATCCCAGAGTTCTGGACAGAGGACTTTCAGTACTGTTTGCCTGAGGATGTAACAGTCAAATTGTGAATCACGTAGTCATTTTTGTTAGTTGAGTATTTATCGGTCAAGAAAAGAACAACACAGAAATATCATAAGAACGTAAGAAGGGTTTCAAACGAGAGGAGACATTAGGCCCATCTGGCGTGTTTGGTAAATAGCAGCTTATTAATTCAAGAATCACTTCCAGCTCTTGCTCCACACCCCCACCACCTTTTGTGTAAAGAAGAACCTCCTGTTCTCGGTTTTTAGAACACTTCCACCTGTGTGCTCTGGTTCATGTTTTACTGGTCAGTCTGAAGAAATCCGCTGGGTTTGCTTTAGTGCCTTTGAGGATTGTGAATCATCTGTTGACACCCCGCCGATCCCCCGTCCGGTGCAACAGCAGCAGCGCTGTCAGCGTCTGGAGGCGTGCTGTCAGCTTGGCTGAAAGAGCCCAGTGTCCCCGAGCCAAAGCCGCAGGCCGGCGGGTGGACACGGGGGGGCCGGAGGGTGGACACGGGGGAGGCTGGATTGAGGAGCCAGCCACCCGCTGGCGGGGCGGCACCAGCTCCAGCCTGCGGCCTTGTGACGCTGTCCAAATCCCCCACCAGTGCTGCCTCTCCGGAAGCCGAGTCCACTGCTCACACAGGCAGCCTGAGCTCACGGGCCGGGCTGTGGCACCGTGACCACAGGGCGCCGCCAGCTGTAGGGCACAGCTGGGGCTGGGGGGCGCTGGGACTGCGGCTCCTCTGCCCCACACACTGCCACCTGAGGCACGGGGGGGGGGGCAGCCCATTCCAACTGGGGGCGTCGTTTAATACAGAGGGAACAACTGGGGACCCCAAAATCTGACAACAGCAAAGACAAGCAGCCGTGTCTGTCAAAGAGAGGGCATGTGTGCCGCGCAGACAGTGACCGAGCACAAAACGGAGTAGACACGAACGCAGCAGTGCCTGGTCTGGAAGCTGGGCCGCATGCACGATGCTCATAGAGAAAGCCAGCGCTGAGTATAGGTGAGGCAGTGTAGCTGAAACACAGGACACTTCCACAGGATTTGGGAGAGATGGAGAGCTCGTTTTAAAGAGGCACAGTCCTGCGCTACTCCGCTAAGAGCAGTCAGAGGTGTGCAGGGACCTGATTCGCAGCACTTCTTACAGAATGAGTTCCTGAACTTCAAGGGGTCAGTTTGATCAGCAGTCCCAAGAGTATTCTAGCCTCTCTGAAGCTGGCCCGTGAGTTCTGGGCTGGGGCAGACCTCGGGTCAGGCTGGGACCAAGGAGCACTGCTCTCCTGTGCACAGCGTCCCGAGTCCCACACAGATGAAATTAGCAGAGAAAGATGTGCCCTTACACGCTGCAATTTGCAGCCCCACGCCCCCACCTCCTGCAGATGGCTGTTTTTCCTGTGCTTGGCCTGTGTTTACCATGCTGATAATCTTCCAGGCACCTACGGCAGTTTATTTCCAGACCTTGTTTTTTTTTCCAGTGACCTCCTACATTTACTCGCGGCCAAGGCCCCGCTGGTAGCGCTCCAGGTGTATAAATACTGCCCCGGCCCGAGCCAGCTTGGCCTTTCAGGGAGGGAGCCCCAAGGGGCAGTGTGGGGAAGTGTGAGCGCACGTAGCCCAGTCTCAGATGAAAGGGCCCAGGCTCCTGCTTGTGTTCTGTCTCAGCGGGAGCGCTGGGCGCTGTTCCTGCCACGTTACTGTCCTCCCCCTGACCTCCACCGCTCAGCACTGAAGTCATGCACATTGTGTTTGTACTGTATCCAAAACAGCTCAGATGAGAGGTCTTCCACGCAACCATTTTTAGCTGTAGCTGCAGGGCTGCATGCTCACAAGATGCACAGACACGAACCCTTGTAAACAATAGTTTCACACATTGGAAGTTAGTCCATGTTCTTTTATCTTTACGGCCTTTGTAGTAAAGGGGCTGTCAATCAGCTTTAAGGAGCAGACGTTTTATATTGTTAGTGGAAAATAACTTTGCCATGGCATTTGTGCCAAAGATTAAGCTGGCTTTTTTAGTTTTGTGTCTGAAACAGGCTTAGAGAGGGCAGTTAGGAATAATCAGAGATATTTATTTTTGGGGGAGGCTAAACAACATTTAAACTTCAACTTTATTTTTCCACACAGGCTTAATGTTAAATGTCCCCATTTGATTTTGATCTAGTGCTGTTTTCACAATGGACACATCTGCTTAAAAACAGGGACTGCTGTGCAACTCCAGGTCATCTTTCTATCTGAGATCATAGACTTACGCTGTGTGTACTCCTTCAGAGCTCTTGCATGTGTACTTCTGTTCATCTCCTGCTGCAGAAAACGAAAGTTTGAACTCTCACTGTCCGGTCTAAGATTGCCAGGTCAATCAGTAGCTTTCTGGGAATGCTGGGATAGCTTGGTGGGGAGATACCCCTCCACGGTTTTTTGCAGAGCAATAAACTCATAATGTCCCACAGATAGGTCAGGTTCCTCAAAAGCCCCTTGCATAACCAATACATAGATAACGTTCAGCACAAGGCGTGCACAGAAACTACCTCTTAACACAAAAGTTAGAGCCTGATAACAGACTTTGTCCAGAAGCCTTAAAACAACATTTGTTCTGCAACATGAGAAGTGCCCACTGTGAAACTTCGGACAAGGTGTGCAACAGCCCAGTAGGTCTGTTTTTCTGGTCAGGTCTCTATACTGTACTGTTCTCTATACTGTTTATACTATACAGCACACTTCTGCGTCTCATCTATCGAGAACACTTCCTGTTCCCCCATTTCCCCACTGAGCTGGCCGTGAGGGGTGAGGGCAGCGCTGAGACCAGCAGGGTTCGGCACTTAGCAAGCTGCTTGGCACAGCGCTCGTTTGAGCGAGCTGAGACGCAGCTGGAGGACTGATCTGAAAAACGACACCTCAGTACGTGTCCTGAAAGCTCAGGCAGGCTGGTCTGCGTGGACAACGCACTTTCACGGTTGCTAAAAACACAGCAACGCTAACAACCCCACCACCCACGTCTGCTGTGCGTCAAGCCGAGAACGGCACAGCGAGCTGACTTGGATTTAATCAGAAGTGACAGTAAATGAAAAGTTGCTTGGTTTTATACCAACTTTACTGCTCTGGTCTCTCTTATTGTTTATTGTTATCTGCTTCAGATATGAAGGACAGCTGTGTAATAACTGCACAGACAATGAAACAACCTGATATCTTTTCTGCTGAGCTGGGCAGCTGTGACGTATTCACCACAGTTTATTAGTTTCCAGTTATTTGGAACACAAGCTTCCATTTTCCAAGTAATTAGTGTCAGTGAGGCTTGGCTACCTCTGGCCCTTCAGGGCTGCAGGCTGTTGAGGAGTTTCATTCCAAACCTTCTGCCTTTAACTTAGTTGGAACAAGTCCCCTGCCTGCGTGTTCACGAAGGTTTAATAAATCAAGGATCTGAGGTGCTCTAGCACCTGGCTGTATGAAGCCCTTATGTGACTTGGGGAATTGATGTAATGGGGCTTTTTGCTCAGTGATGTTTTATCCTTGCATTTGTAATGACTCATCCCCATTGTTTAGGAGTAAGACCAAATTCTGTTTGGCAGCACCGTATCCGCAGAAACGTATCCGTAGTGACGCAGTTAAGATGAGGGGGAAGGAAATGAATGCTGCACGATGCTCTGAAGCCCAGAGTGGGCTGGGCTAGTGCCTCAGCACCCTCCCCCAGGCATCTCCCTTCCCCAGCTTCGGCCTTTGGTCACAGTGGGACAGGAAACGGGCATCACAAGCTGACACCTGTTCGTTTGCGCTTTCTGTAGAGCTCTGGTGCCGGGTGGCGGGTGGAGGGTGGAGGGTAAGAAATGGAGGACCAGCCAGGAGGGGGTTTGGGAGAAAAGGAGAGAGACTGAGGTGGGAGAGTTCATAGTGGAAAGAACAGACATGTGACGCTGCTTTCCTACCACCAACCCAGCTTTAGAGTTTAAGGTCGTGGGCTGATTACAGGCATGTAACTCTGTTGTGTTGTGTTGTGCACACGTGTGTGTGAGAACTTAAAATAAAAACCATGACGAGGGTTTATTGTCAGAAAGGTAGGAGACAGGAGACAGTTAGAGCTGAGGTACTGTGAAAGAGGGAGGCAGTGTGGGCTAGTGGTTAGGGATGTGGCACTGGGAGAGAGAGAGGGAGGCAGTGTGGGCTAGTGGTTAGAGCTGAGGCACTGGGAGAGAGAGAGGGAGGCAGTGAAGCCAGTAGAATAGCACACAAGCAGTGTGGTGTGGGTTATTGGTTGTGGGCATTCATTCCCCTTTAATTATTCAAGAGGTGGGGTCCAGACAGCTGGGGCTATTTGTGTTGTTTCCCACGGTAACAGAAGTCTCCTCCCCTTAATATGCAACGTGGCTGAATCTCAGTGCTAAAGCAAATGTCTGGATTCTGCCAGATTCCCTGTGTGTGTGCAGCCAACACAAGCTGCTCCTTATTCACGAGCCTGATGTGGACAGGCAGGACACAGGCGCTTACGTCAATGCCCTGTGCTGAAGCCTCGCTGCAGGAGCTCCGCTGGAAGTACAAGAATGTAACATTGTACAGGGAGAGAGAAACTTTATCATCATCACCCCTACAGCACTCCTGAGAATGACAGACGTGCTGTGTAACAGCAAGTGGAAAACCTCTACCTTCTTCTTCATAACAGTACAGTTACTCCTATTAATTATGATAGCATTCATTACAGAGACATTGGTGTTAAAAACATCTGTGCAGAAGCTTCTGCATTAAAGTCTTGTCAGTGCTGGAACAGAGGAGTTTGATACTATTTAACCTCTGTGTGAGACTCAGTAGGCAGGTTGAAATTGATCTTCCTATCTGTGTATACTGTATGTCTAAACACATGTTGCTCATGTGGACCAGCAGTCAGAGCTCTGGACTCCGAACTGGGCAGCTGTGGGTTCGAATGCCAGGTGGGGCAGCCAGGCTCATGTTGTGCCTGTGAGTGAGCTCCTTCACTCAGATTGAACCAGTGATAATAGAAGGGCACACATGGACAGTATGTTGCCTCAGTTAAAACCAATAAATAATTAATGAATAAACGCAATTCATTTTGCAAGGGAATTGCTGCTAATTCTGATGTTTCCTGCTTTAGTGTTTTCTCCGAAGTGACCATTCCAGTCTCCAAAGACTAATAACGAGCTAGGTGGATCATCTCTCGGGAGGAGTTACAAGCGATCAGCTGAGGCATTTAGGCACTTAATTTGTCACTTGGTGCTTCTCATGAGTCCTCCAGATGCAGAAAGAAATGTCAAATGCTATTTTAATTTTTTTTAAAAGTAGTGCATCTCATCAGGTGTGTCACCCACGTCTGTGCAATTCTAAGATTCTGCTCATCCCACAGTCCCTGCAATCCACAATCCACAGGAAGAGCCTGTCATGTACTGTACACTCCTGTCGATAGCTGACTACCCAGTCAGGCACACTGTAGGAGGCCAAGCCCATCGGAAAATAATCTGTCTTGGACTGAGAAACCATTAGAGAAAGATGACGTGAAAGATACTGTGCCACAGCCATGCCTGGGCTATTTTCTTAACGAGCAATAATTTGATGTCTTTCATGACAGAGGAGGGCAGAGCAGATTAAGACTGAGAGTCCTTCAAGTCTCAGAAATTTGAGACTTAAAACAAAACCAAAGAAAAAAGTAACTATAAGGCAACGCAAATAGCAAAAGAGTGAAATTCTCACACTAGAGAGGGATCTTAACACTTTGTGACATTTACTTTGAGGACTCAGTATGTGTTAATTTCGCATTAACCAACTGCTGTTCTGAGTTTATTTCTTTATAGGCATGCAGCCTAATTCCCTGTCCAGGAACAGGAGACGCTGGGCTCCGTAGTGATGTCTGTGCTTGTCTGTTCCTCAGACCCCCTCTGAGAGACATCGGACCTCCAGAATATCCACAGTGCAGGACTGCCGATCCGGCCAAGCCACGATTATCCTCTGTCCGACATGGAGCTAGAAAAACTCTCTGGCGATGAAACTCTGGGCATCATCTCGAATGGCAGCCATGTTAACGACCTCAGCCCAGAGAAGGTCACGCTGGAAGATGGGTAGGTCTGTTCGAGGTTCACCTACCTCTGTATGCACATGCACACACTACTGAACACATTAGACACACTGAACACACTGTAGCCCAGCACTGACAGTGAGCTACTGAACACACTCCAGCCCAGCACTCTACTGAGCTACTGAACACACTCCAGCCCAGCACCTTGACACTCTGCTATTGAACACACTGCACCCCTACACTCTGATACTGAGCTACTGAACACATGGCAGTAGATTACTGTTTGATTTGAAATCCACATACAAATGTTTGGGCCACGTTTTTACAGACATTCCAGATTGTGGCGGTAGCTCCCACTGATTAGTCATTTCCTTGGAAGCACAAGAATTCAGGGGATATCCTTTTCCAAGTGATCAGCTCCGCTTCCTCCTCATTAACATTCCTGTCTGGCACAGCTCTGGGCTCACTACAATGTATATTTATGACTGTTAGAATTTCACTGCATGACCATGGTGTTCCACTCGGTTTACTGTCAGGCTAGGGGAGCTGTTTAAGCCCTGTGTGCTGTGGATGAGTTTTCTCAAACTGTTTTTGTCCAGTACAGTAAGCCAACCAGTACAAAACACAGAAACACAGAACCAAGCAGAGAAAACACGAAGGACACCATCTAAGCAGAGAAATATTGGGGAGACTAGTGGTCCGGGTTCTGTCCCTTGACTCCCACCCCCTGTGCTCAGTCTTTGACACAGGGCGTGTCGTCAGGGCCTGTTCTCGCAGAGTTCGCCGTGTTGGTCTTGGACAGACGTGTCCACTCAGCAACACTTGGACTGACATCCCTGCTCTCCCTGTTACTAACGCACAGCGCCGGGTGCCCGCCTGTCTCCCCCCAGGTACGAAGGGCCAGAATCTGCCGAGATGGAGCGAGAGGAGTTCCTGCCGCACAAAGGCGATGGGAAAAAGCAGCCCCAGTTTACAGACGTAAGTGTGGGTGCAGGGGGGCGCTGGACAGCTGGCGTCCATACTGCTGCTCATTCGTAGACACCAAGGAGTGGGGGGGTCACAGTGAGAACTTGTTCTCATTACAGGTGCTTACTGTGGTACATCTGAGTGGTACTTTTGTCTTTTTACCACATTTTACAACAACGCGCCTCACCCACACTTTCCTGGTTTTACATTCTTCTAACAGGGAGCCCCACTGATTGACCGCAATAACGCTGTGCTTTACTGCACTCCATGCCATCTTGCGCTTTCTGACTTTCCTACGGTAAATCACGGTCTTGGTGTCATGAGTGCACAGCCCCCATGTCCAAGCCAGTGCTCTGTCCTGGACACAACAGGCCTGGTGCCTTATTCTGCCTTGATTAGAACACACTGGTGCTCAAACAGCATTGAAGACATGCTCTTTATGCTTCGTCAGGCCAGTCTAAGAAAGATCGAGCTGTTCAAGCTCTTGTTAAGTTATGGGTGAGTGCTGTTCTATTGCAGAGAAACCAGCAGAAACGTCTGAGTGTCTGTCTTTCTCGCTGTCCCGCAGTTCGAAGGAAAGACATCTCTGGGGATGTCTGTCTTCAACCTCAGCAACGCCATCATGGGCAGTGGGATCCTGGGGCTGGCGTACGCCATGTCCAACACTGGCATCATCCTCTTCCTGTGAGTAACTGGCCGGCGCCTCATTCAGAAAGCGTGTCCCCTCGGTCCAGCTGGTCATCTGGTTGTACCTTAATAAGAAAACACTCAAAGCACTCATCTTGCTTATACAGTTGTAAGAAAGCAGTGAACCCAGGATCTCATCAAACTGGAAAGTGTCTTTCAGGATGTTAGCGAGCCTCCTTATGCACAGCTAAAGTGTTTCACGTTGATGTTGTTGATGTTACTTTGCTTTCACAGTCTAAAAAATGCATTTCTGATTGCAAGAGTCTCATACCTGCTCTCTCATCATTCTCTAGCTGAGCCACGGTGTGCGGGAGTCTACATTCCTGAGTGGAATAAGTAGCTGATGTGTCCCTGGCAGGCTTCCATAGAAAGCAGCCATTTTGGCTCATTTGGGAAACAAGGGGAGTGGCTTCTGTAGAAAGAGCCAAAATGGCTACTCTCTACGGAAGCCTCCCGGGGACATATCCGCTGCACAGTCCGCTCAGGAGTGAGGACCTTTCTCACACATGGATGACCAGATCATTAGACAGCTTTTAGCAATTTTGGATACAATGAGGACCTGCCATCCCTCAGACATGCAGGCTGTGACCTGTTTCATTCCTAAGCTGGTCTCAGATTGTCTTCACTGCAGGCCCAGCAGTGGGGTGCCTGTGTTCTGCTCACAGAGAGAGGTGCTTCTGCCGCAGGGCTCTCACTCTGGACCAGCTGATGCAGGAGGAACTGCAAAGCCCCAAAGGCTCCCCAAAGCCTGAACACCATGATGATCTGTCTGACACCTGTTTCGGATGGGAGGCTGAGTGATATTTGCATCCTGGCCGACAGCCAGATGCTCATTGGATCATCGGAGAGGTGGAGACTCCTTGGCGGGCTTCCCTGCTTGACATACTGCTTGCTGTGTGTTAGTCATTCGTTCTGGGGTGTGGTAGATGTGATGCCAAGGAAGGCAGGTGTGGGTTTCCATGCCCTAGGCGAGACTGGGCAGCGTGCACGTAGAAGCAGCTCCTCCCATGTTCTGGAACACTCTGGAAGACCGGGGCAGAGAGCCCGGAGAAACAGCTGAGGAGGTGTGTCTTTGCCCCAACAGGAATGAAAGGACTCCTTACAATTCAGAAGGATGTGGCTGGAACCCTCCAAGTTTTCCTTCTTAAGTCCCCCTCCTTGTGCAAAACTCTCTCGCAATAGTGGGCTTCGCCTCAGGCATCAGCGAGCTGGCTTCGTGCTTGGTCAGCCCGGGTCCTCTGGTGGCCCTGTTACCCGGGATCAATTACCCATGAACCACCTTGTGGCAGCAACATGCGGCAGAAGGGAACACCAGCCAGGGCTGTTGCTAGGTTCTCCATCCTCCCTGCACACCTGAGAATCCAGAAGCCAAAGTCCACACAAGGTCACTGTCACATGGCTGCTGGCGTAGAAGTTGTAGAAACTGGACGTTGCTTCCAAACTGAGTCCACTCTCAATTCACTAAGGAAAAATATTTTTTGTTATTTGTCGCTAATCCTTCTTTTTTCCTTTGGGGGATAAAAAAACCACAGTGACTTAAGAAAGCAAACCAGGTCAAGTGGCTTCCAAGTTTTGGCAATGCAGGATTTCGTCTGACGTTTCTCAGCCCCCCTGGTGCGAAGGTTCATCTGGTTTCAGATTGAACCTTTTCCCAATTGGGTTAAAGAATTAGACGGCTCGAAGCTCAGTTTTAGCTCTGAAAAAGGAATTTATTTATAGCCCTGTATAAATAGGAGAAGATACATCTGCCAGACCATGTTCGGCTGGTTTCAGAAACCTGCCAAGACAGCTAACTCCTTCCCGAAACCTCCTGATTATCTGTTCGGGAAGAGTCTCGTCCTCTGTCGGTGCCACAGACCCTAAGCCAGCCACTGGGACTGAGCCATGTTAGTGTGCTTCTGAGTCCTGGGAAGGACTGTAATGGAGACCTTATCAGGTTAAATCACATGATGTGAACTCTTTAAAGACGCTGGAAGGCTAAATCTGCTTCACAGTCTGCGTGTGCACTGTACAACGTACAGTCAGACAGCAGTGCACACCCTCCTGTGTAAACTGATGGGGAAACAGATACTTGCACTGGCTTGTTACCTTTAAAACCACAACAGTATAACAATCATATAACTCAAGAAATTGTCGGGTTTGTACACATACTGTATTGTATTATATTGTTATAGATTCTTAGGCTATATTTTTTTCAATAAATATAAGTTAACAAAGTGATTTTGCCCTTTTTTTCACTTACAAGTCCTAATTCAGTGCATGTTTGCAGCAGTAGTTTCATCTTTACTCCTATCTTGTTACTGGTAGAGCCGTCATCTTGGTCATTATCCTCTGACGAAGGTGATAAACCTGAAACGTGACAATGAAGGAGAGAAAAGGTTTCATGGCCATGGGTGTCTTTTTGAACAGCCTGTTTTAAAGTGGACTGGACAGCAGCATGCGACTTTAAGGTTTATATATAGCCGACTGCTCGCAGATCAACCTGCCTGGCAGTTGCGATCCTGGGTTTTGTCAGGGGCAGGGCAGGTTTGGCCAGTAGCCAAGAGCTGGAGGAATAGCTGAGGTTCTTGTGATCAGGCCTGCAGTCATCTGTCAACGTAATGAGATTAGAGGATTTGATGACTAGTGGAGAGGAGATGCGCTGCAGGCTGGGGGATAAATATTTACAGTAGCTTCTGCCTGCAGGGTGCGGATCTCATCCTTCAGTACCGAGGGGCAGATCGATCCCCAAGGAACCAGCAGGCCGTGCCTGCTCTCTCCACTCCCCACCCCTGACCCTTCACTGCCGTCTCTGCCACCCGTCTGCAGATTTCAGAAGGGCCGCTGTAACTCATAACAGTGCAAAAGCAAAGCGTTTTAGCCCGGTTGTTGCACTCTGAAAAGAGAGTTCCAGATGCTGTTTTCTGTTAAGCAAAGCAGGCTTTCGCTTGGAGCCGGAGGCCATCCTCTGTGTTTTAGTCCTTTGCAGTCCGTCCAGGCAGTCTTTTCCCACCTTCAGTGCTTTAGTGACGCTGTTCCAGAGGGCAGCTGTTTTACAGTTTGACAAGAGCTCACTGTTGGGTTCCTCTGGTCAGCCCCCTGTGCCAGCTGTACTGTGTACTGCACCTCACATGCCCTTTCCCTTCCCTAATCCTGAGATATTCCCTCACGTCTCTGCAGAATCCTGTTGACGTTCATTGCCATTCTGTCGGCGTATTCCATACACCTGCTTCTGAAGAGCGCCGGAGTCGTAGGTAAGGCGGTCCCTGAATTCCCCGGCCCTGCTGCTTCCAGACTGAGCACGCTCGCCTGTCGTGAACTGAGTCAGAGCCCCTGTCCTCCGCACAGCTGCAGCACAGCAGAAAGAGACCAAACACGTTTAGGGTCAGAAGGCAGAGTTAATAAGTGAGCCACTTGTTAATTAACGTCTTTGGGAATAACTAATCCAGGAATCATACCTGGGCGTTTCATAAAGAGATCCAGGAATTTCTCCCCCAGGTGTTCTACTGGTATTAATCAAGGAACCTCATGCATTTATTTCTTGGGGGATCAGGTTCAGCACCAGTCCCTGGGCTTCCTCTGTGACTCTGTAAGGAGTCGCTCTCTGTTCCCAGCCCTGAGAGTGTTTGCTCTGAATTTCAGGGTGTGTTTAATGCTCTGTGGAACCCGATTGCCATAGCAGAGTAGCAGTATTTGCAGCAGTGACCCAGTGCACTGAGCAGAACAGCAGCATGACTGTGGGTGTTTCATCTTTCAGGAATCCGTGCCTATGAACAGCTGGGCAACAGAGCCTTTGGACCTCCAGGGAAAATCTTAGCAGCTATCGTTGTCAGCATCCACAACATTGGAGGTGAGTCTCAGGCGGTTACACTCAGACACGCATGAACTACCTCACACTGAGACAGACGCATGTCTGTACCCATGAGAACACTTTTTAATTTACTGTTCTCGGCTCTGCAGGCATGATGCTCAACAAGGCACTCTCGTCCGCAGAATGATCCATGCTTGGATTTCAGAATGCATATCTTAAAGTCTGAAACTCTAACGTAGAGTTGACTGAAGCTCATGAGTTAATGTTTCCCTCACCCTGCACCTTTGTGTGACTGCTACAGAGACCTCTCTTTTCTTCGCTTTCTCAGAAAGAACCTGTGGACGTATTCAAAAATAATACAAATATTCCCCATCATGAGTTGAACACGCAAATGTTTCTACATATCTTTGTATCGTTTGAATGTGATTATCTGATGATGCAGGTCTTCTAAGGTTTGCCCTGTATTTTGTGCACAGTTCTGCACCAGTACTGATCAGGAACTATGACCGGTGTTTGAGAACAAGCGCTGGCCAGCTGTTCAGGTGTGTCCACTATTTCAGGGCAGGCCGATCCGCGGGGGTAGTAACAGTCTCACTGGCTGCGGCGCCTCCCACCTGAACTACGGTGCCCAGGCAACGTCAACCGGCCTCTAAAAGGATCCTGTCTTTCTCTGTAGCCATGTCCAGCTACCTCTTCATCATCAAGGTGGAGCTGCCTCTGGTCATCTCGTCCTTCCTGAAGACCGACAGCAGCGAGTGAGTGGATTGTCGATGTCGCCCACGAGCTCGTGATCCTGCATCTGGGTCGCGGACTGGAGAGACAGAGGCCGGGTCTTGAGGATGACACCCTGGTGTCTTTCCAGAAAGGGCTGGATCCTCAGATCAATGAACTACTGATCACTAAATGGATCAAATTGGAGGGGCTGAATGGCCTCCTGGTGAAGGTTTTCCAGTGACCCTAACCCTACTGACATTCGTTTGACCTGTTTAAGTCCCCGGAATGGAAAGTGTACGAGGAGACTCATCGCTCAGCCTTATTCAGGTGCAGGAGCTGATGGGGCTGATCGCACACTCTTTCCAGTCTCGCTGTCTCAGCCTGTTTCACCTCCCCTCTGCTCCCGTCAGCAGCAGGGCGTCACCCCTGGGCAGGCATCCCTGCCTGTACGACTGTAGTCACGAGCCGCTCGGTTCTCCTCAAGACAAAACCCCTTCCATTCCTGAACGCCACGTGGTTTTAAAGCAGCACAAATATCAGCTCCTTCATTTTTCATCTGAAGGAGTGTGCAGGTGCATTGATAAAGGCTATAGAGACTGTTGTGTACCAGCAGGTCAGAAGATGTTTTAATAAAACAAGTCATGATTATTGTTGTAAGAAGAATTACACTACAGTACTGTACATGATTAAAAGCACAGTTTGGGGTGTAGATATGCGTCATTAATCATGTAGTCCCACCTTTAGTCCAAAAATGTTCATTTTCTAACAATTCAAAGCGACTTCATTAACTGAGTTTGGGGAGCAGGTGAGCGCAGAGCTGTCTGTCTGACCTCCTGTCTGTCTCGTTCACAGCCTATGGTACCTGGAAGGCAGGTACCTGATCATCATCGTTAGTGTCCTGATCATCCTCCCTCTTGCCCTCATGAGACAGCTCGGTAGGTTATTAATTCCCTGTTTCTCAGTCTCCACCGTCATCTTCATCATCTTCGTCATCTTGGTCTTTTTTTTCCGCATCTTCCTATTTACTCTGATCTACTCCTTCTGTCCTCCATACCTGCATCTCCTGCATCACCTGCTCTTCCACCTCCTGCAGGCAGCGGCAGCAGTGGCTGTTGTATTTACTGCCAGCTGTTCCTGGGACCAGCAGAAGACATGTTAGTGCTTCTGGTGACTCTAGTGACACAGGACTGTTGTCCACAGGCCTGCAGCAGGAAGTGACCTCATCGATTTTGAAAGCAAGGGGATGTGGGGGCAGCCACACTGACAGTAGTAGCAGCAGGTTAGGGATTCGTACCTGCAGCAGCAGGAGAAATTGTAAGACAGCTGACGAAGCTGTTGCTACAGTGAGATAAGCATCTTATAGTTAACAGTGCAGTGTGCTGAGTGCAAACACAAGCACTCATTTGGAAATCAGGGATGCTAAGCAAAGGCTTTGGCAGAATGGGTTAGCATCTGTCTTTAGAGTGCCATTCTGCTGCTCCGGTGGGTTATTCCTTGTGATCTTTGGTTGCAGGTTATCTTGGGTACACCAGTGGATTCTCCTTAACCTGCATGGTGTTCTTCCTCATCTCGGTGAGTGTGGGTTGACGTCAGGTCAGGGTTCGCCGCTATGCCTTGTGTAGAAATGAGCGAAGGGACGCTCCTCTTCGCTCTGGGCTGGGGGGGCTGCTGATGTCAAGATGGCTGGGAGTGGTGCTACCTTCCCTCTCTCCTCTCTCCCCCCCCCGCAGGTGATCTACAAGAAGTTTGACTTCAGCTGTAGCCCTGAGATGGAAATGAACCTCACAAACTGCGTCAACAACACGGAAGAAGTCAAATTCTTCACTGTAAACCAACAGGTCAGCCAGGCCTCACGGGTCAAGTGAGCTGCGGACCCGAACGCTCACCACACAGCCACACTGATCCAAAGGACGATTATGACCAGTGACTGATCACAGTGTACTGCCAGTAACTGAGCTACAGTGTGGATGTTCAATCCAGAGCGTTATGCTGGAGCTCTACAAGATGCTCTAGTAAGATCTCGCCTGGAATACTGTGGTCAGTTTTGGTTATCACACCACAGAAACAACATCATGGCCTTAGAAAGAGCTCAAGTAAGAGCAACAAAAATGATTCATTCTCTCAAGGGTCTGACAGATGCGAACTGGTTAAGGGAACTAAGTCTCTTCAGTGTAGAACACAGGAGATTTGGTCCAGGTGGACAAAATGCTCTAAAGAGGTTTGGGGAGCGGTTTCACGCTCGATGGTGAAACCCCCAGACAGAGTCACAGTTGGAAAGGTAAGGGGAGTACATTTAGGACAGAGGAGAGGAAACATTTACTCCAAGAGAGTGGTGGGGGACTGAAACAGGCTTCCTATCTAGGTGGTTGTGGCCCAGACTCTGGGCTCCTTTAAGAAATGGCTGGTTTCACTCAGAACTTCACTACTGAACTGCCAGAGCATCTGGAGGGGCGGTAAGGCCGCCCCTTGTCTGCGGACCTTCGTTAGTGGAGCGAACAATGACGGTCTTCTTTCCCTTCGACCTGCAGACGGCTTACACCATCCCCATCCTGGCCTTCGCCTTCGTGTGCCACCCTGAGGTGCTGCCCATCTACACGGAGCTGCGCAGGTAACAACCTCACACCGGCAGCTCACGGGCCGGGCTGGGGGTGGACCACGGGCTGGAGAGCTGTCAGACCCTCACACGCAGCCTGGGAGCTCCAGTCATTCGCCCATGTAGCCTTCACCTCTGCAAGCTGGAGAATGGGGTTTTATAGACTGCTTTACAGTTGTTTTCCCAAATGTGCAGTGGTAACGACCAAATCTGACCCCTTAGTGCAATAGAAGGGTCTTCATGCTGCAAACATCCCACTCCTTGTAATTGTAATCGAAGCTCCCCAACACCCCTCTGCGCAGCTCAGTTTCCTTCTCAGGTGAGCTCAGGAGAGATGTCATGTTGGGAGACAAGGGGGTCAGGGATATTAGTGCCTTCTGCACCTGCAGTACTTGCAGGCAAGATCCAGGCACCCAGGCAAATAATTAACACTAAACCTGCCCAAGCGAGTGAAAGTGATCTGTAACGGCTATATGGAGGTAATAACCCTCCTGCTCCCTGCGTGCTGGGAGGGACAATGAGGTTTGACAGTGGCAGTCTGGGGCGGCCAACAGGAGCAGAATTTCATCACCAGTCCCGCGCCCTGCCCTCTCGCTCACGGGCTCCTGTGTTTCTCTCCCGCCGGCCGACAGGCCCACCAAGAAGCGCATGCAGACCGTGGCCAACATCTCCATCCTGGCGATGTTCCTCATGTACCTGCTCACGGCCATCTTCGGCTACCTCACCTTCTACGGTAAGATGCAGTGGCCTTCGTCCGGCGCACTTTTGATCCGTGACAGTCGGGCCTTTTGGTGGAAGGAGGGAATCATTTCAGAGCCTTGGTTTTGACACTGGCTGCTCTTTTGTAACTGTAGAATGATGGGTATAAGTTCCTGTCCTGTTGAGGTTCCCATTAAGAGAACTGCTGGAATTCTCCAGGGTTATTTTCGTATTGTGTCTCTAACCCCACCTAGTGGTCATAGAAAGACTGGCGGGTTCGGGCTCCATTATCGCTGCTGCAGGGTAGCAGGCCTGGTCTCTCCTCGAATACAGATCTGTCTGTATCTGGTAAAGTAAGACTGTCTCCCAGAGTGTTGAAAAACGAGTGTTTCTGTGACAGGGTGATTTGGCATTTCCATTGGCCTGAGACATAGAGACTCATCGTAGTCAATCGTAGTCACGTGACTGTGTGACGGCATGCCAGTGTCCCGCTCGTGCTGTGGGGAATCCTGGGGTACACTGAGAATCGAGGGGCACGAGGCCACACCAGTAGAGAGCATGCTCACCATCTGCAACACTTGGAAGTTAAGATGTTTTTACATTGTGTTTTTATTATTGCGATACAGTATAAATACAGATGCATTTTTGATGTTCAGAACTCAGAACCAGAGTTTCCAGAAATCATATTTCCAGAAGAAAATACTAATTAGAGTGGGACTGTAATAAACTCGGCCAGCAGGCAATCAACTGAGCATTTCTGATCTACTTGATCAGAAAACAGTACGAGACGAGAAAACCGAGCCCTGAGCTGACAGCTCTGTCCAGGCGAGACCTCGCTGGCACAAGCAGGGTTTCACTGGCTCCGAGGGTCAAAGGTCAAGAGGTCACACGGGTCAGTCCCTGCAGGGGCACAGCAGACTCTCGGGCTAGAACCCCACCCTTAGCACGATATCCAGAGAGGAGCCGGAATAACCCCCCCCCCTGTCTCCCCAGGCAACGTGGAGGCGGAGCTGCTGCACACCTACAGCAAAGTGAAGCGCGTGGACACCCTGATCCTGTGCGTGCGTCTGGCCGTGCTGCTGGCCGTCACCCTCACCGTCCCCGTGGTGCTCTTCCCGGTAGGACAGACCCCCTCCCAGCGCGCCGCTCCGCCGCCGGGCAGCTTCAGGAAACATCAAGGCCCGCCGGCCTGCCCTGCGGGAGCCCTGGAGCCCACGCTCCTCGGTCACAGCGGGTCCCGGTCCGACAGACACAGACACGGCTGTGAAGTCAAGCTGTGAAAGAGCTCGTTTATTTACAGCATGACAGGAAATCGTCAGCAAAAACCCTTGCTCCTCGTTGGGCTTCAAACTAGACGTCTTCCATCTGCATCGCTAGCTGGGCAGTCTCTCCTTCTGAACCCTTCAGCACTTAACAGAATTGAGTCTCTCTCTCTCCTCCTCTTCCACGATTGCTGATTGCATATCAGAGGATCTGCCCTCTTCTTTTGCACGACAAATAATGACCGAGCCAGGAAGGCTCAGCTTCTGGTTCTTTAAACCATGACCTGACCAATCTTATAGTCTTATACCGATTGGTCAGGTGACTGAGGATGGCAGATCCTTCTCTCTGGGGAGTGTAGTTCAGACAAGAGTTTCCATCTTGTTGAAACTCCCCTCCCTCTCGCAGTCTTCCCTGAGCCTTGAGGTCACACTAAGACGTTGGTGGTTCTCCTAGTGTTGAAGGGCTTCCGACAGGCTTTGAAAATCACCGCCCTGAGACATTGCTGAATGAGCTCTTTGGCTCAAGTCAGCAGCAGAGAGCTGAGATCCTCTTGGCAACTCGGAGCCCACAGGCAGACCTCCACATGCGTGTCCCTTGCTGATCTCCTGCAGATCCGGAGAGCGCTCCAGCAGCTGTTGTTCCCGGGCAAAGACTTCCACTGGGGCCGGCACTGCGGCATCGCCATCGTTCTCCTGATCATCGTCAACCTGCTGGTCATCTTCGTACCCAACATCAAGGACATCTTCGGCATCATCGGTGAGTGGACACCTCCCTCCAGCCTGGCCCTGCCCCTGCCCCTCTGTGGATACTGGATCCCTGTATACAGGATACAGGTTTGGAGTAACAGGCAGGTGTTGGAAAGCTGACCCAAGAGACCGGGGTCTTCTAGCTGAGCCTGAGGCCTGAGGTCCTGCCTCTGCCCCCCTGGACACTGGTCCAGCTGTGGGACGAGAAGGACTCTGTGTGTTCAAAATCCCAGCTCATACAAATCGGCAGATTTGAAGTTACTTTCAAAAACTCCGAAGCTAACATGAAATCTCCAACAGCTGTTTCTGTGCAGAATGCAATTCGAGGCTGCGTGGTTCTGTTAGTGCTGGCGTGATCTCGCAGTCCTGGGCTGCCAGTCAGGTGGTCACGTTGAGTGGGATCCGAGTGTCTGCTGAGTTCCTGTGTCTCTCCTCCTCTCCAGGCGCCACATCCGCCCCCAGCCTCATCTTCATCCTCCCGGGAATCTTCTACGTTCGCATCATTCCCAGCGAGAGAGAACCGCTCAAGTCACGACCCAAGATCCAGGTAGGGAGCCGTGCTGGAGTCTGTGGGGGAGGAAAAGACCCGGGTCTCCGAGAGAGACCCGGTGTGGAGCAGCTTCACATGGGCGTTTTCCTGTGATCACAAACTGCTGCTATCCCACCAGCTTTCATGCTCGTACCTGTTTATGATGGCTGGCCTCTAGTGGACAGTAAGCTGCAGCCTTGCACTAGGCAATGGCAGTATGCTCATATCGATACCAGCCGTCTCCTCCACAATCTAGAATTGTTCTCACTGTGCCCCCCTCCCCCATCTCGGGACTGACAGGTGCTCATCGCCTGGAGGATTCTGCCATCAGCAGCACCAGGGGGGAGGGCGCCCCCCCCTCTAAATGGTGCTGAGCCACTTCTGTATCTCGGGCTCCCCACTTCGCCAGGCTCCCCACGTCCCGGCGAGTCCCTGTCCCAGTCAGTGCCGCTTCTCCAGTGGCTCCGTGTAGCGTCAGTCACGCGCTGCCCCAGGCGCTGGAGCGCATCTCTGGCTCTCCACCACGGACCTGCTGGACAAAGACAGGGGTTTTACCATGCCGTGAATAGCTGGAAGGGATTTCCCTTCCTCTGACTGGAGGTGAAATCTCACACCTATGTGTCCTTGTGGCTTGGTGTTATATAAGCTGTTCAGACTTGCTGGCTGGGCAGGATGGTATCACACCGCTGGGAGGAAAGACGTGGCTGGTTGACCATACGGATGATGCTGTTGAGACTGTGCCTGTGTTTCTGCAGGGCTAAGCAGCTGACTGGCCTCCTGAATTTTGCCCCAGTATGAGACAGTGGGTGCTCTTAGGTGACAAACCAGGTGCCATGAAACACTTTTTGCAGCACAAAAATCTGCATGAGACACACAGGGGTTAGGGGCTCGACTAGTGCTGATTAATAATTACTGCATTTCCTGTATATTGCTTGTGTCGTTGTGCAAAAGGCCAGACCTCATTGCGTTTTTTTTCCGTACTGTACGTGAGGCTTCTCAAGGGCCTTTGAGGAAAAAGCTGCAGCCTGAAGCAGCTCTTTCACTGTCGAGCCCACAGAAGCTGCCGCTGCACAGACCGCGGTGAGAAACACCAGTTGCGAATGTGTGTTTCTGGGGCCGCTGAAGGGGAAATGCTCGCTGCTTGAAAGTGAAACCGGAAGCCTGCTGCAGAGACATGTTAGAAGTGTAAAAATCGCTGAACGCGTTCGGGGCTGCTGCAGCGCCTGTGCGCCCTGACCCTCAGGCCCCTCTTCCCTCTGTGTCGCCGCAGGCAGCCTGCTTCGCCGCGCTGGGCTTCATCTTCATGGTGATGAGTCTGTCCTTCATCTTTGTGGACTGGGTGCGGGGGGAGAGCAACAGCCACGGTGGGCACTAGCACCCCTCGACGGCGCCTGGGAAACACAGCGACGTCAGAGACCCCACCTGCCCCCCCCCCCACCTCCCCTGCCCCCACCAGCTCAGCCCCAAGTCCTTCAACTCGCTGGGAAAAAAACTGAAAAGGGCTGGACCCCCCGCCGCCTGCCCCCACCCTGCCCATCTCAGTGTCCATCTCCCCCCCTCCTTCACGCCAGGCAAGGCTCTCTGCTGCCCCCTTGTGTTCTGGAGGAGGGGCACACACCTCCTCCCCACAGTTCAGGTGGGTGGCGCTTTCTAAAACAGAGAACGGTGTTATAAACTCCTGCAAAACCCCAAGAGAGGTCTGTGGTTCAGGAATTAACAACAGAACAAGTGCACGAGCATCCTAGCCGATGTCGTTCTTGTGCTTGATTGCCAGACTTGTCGGTGAGCGAATCATATTTCTGGACAGTGTTCCTCCCCTCACACTATGGTCAAGAGTCTTAATTCAGCTGTTACTTATTTAACTAAGCTGTTTATTAAAATGTCGACACAGAGTTAAGTTATTTTCCTACGTGACTTTGAAAACAGATCAGCCGTATTCTCCAGGCGGCACGTGTGCTTGGTGCAGAGTAGAGAGGTTCTCTCTGTCTGAGCCTGGGATGGCCGAGCACAGCGAGCTGCACAGCGGTGAGCTCAAGGAGCCTCTAACTGTGACACTCGACCAGCGATCAGACAGCTGCTTCCTGTTACAAGGAAACACAGACAGAAACAGAGATATGTATTTACGTGAACAGTTCCACCTAGCTGAAGCACACTTTACACTCCTGTCAGAGATCCTGTCCTTGTCTGAGAATTCAAGAGCCTGTTCCTTTAGCACAGTTCTATGAAACAGCTCATTAATCTCCATAAATCTCCAAACTCCTTTCTTGGCGCATTTTCTGCCCAAGTGAGACTTCCTGCATCAGTTTCTGAAAACAGACAACACTTCTCGATGAGACAAAATGACATGTACGAGCATTTCAGCTGCATGTGGAGAGTCGTCATCTTAAAGGTCATTTTTTTATGTTATTGCTGTTAGGACAATGGAGCTTCCCAGTGGCTCAGACAGTACAGTGGCTTGTTTGGAGGGCTATAGTCCAGACACCACCAGTGTGACCGCAGACAGTTGCTTGCCATGAGGGTTTGTGGGTTTAAGTAAGAGACAATATGTCCCCAGATCTGAGCACAGCAGTGACCCCTGCTGGTGTCCCTGAGCGGTGACACTGCGAGAGGTCTGCCCATCGTATTTTAACTGATATGCATGGAGGCACTGGCCAGTACTGCCCACCCACCCCCCAGTCCCAGAGAGCCATAGTTCCTCGGGTGTTAGGGTTCACCCTAAAATAATCAATTCCTAAACTTTCGTACACTACGTATGCAGAGAATTCAGGCAATTAAACAGCGCAGAGACCATTTGAAATACAAAACAGCCAAGACCTCCATAGCCCAACGCCCAGAGCTGGCCATTCCTGGCTGAACTCAATCAAGTAATTGGCTCAAGTGGTCGAGACCCACGTGTGTTCCGAGTCCGCCCAGCCTTCTGAGCGCAGAAACCTGGCCACGCCCATCGCTCGCTGTCCGGAAGTCTCGACTCCCTGCGGTCCGGTTTCCAACTTCACCTTCATGTTGCCGAGACCGACTACTACAGTGTTTCGACTGCTTTTATTCGAACAATTGTATCACTCCGTTGCGATGCCTTCTACACCACCCAAACTGTATTTTTAGGAACTGTTTTTTTTACCGAGTCCTCCTGTTACAGGGCGCAAACCTCCACACACGTAGTTCCAGCAGGGGGCGACACAAAACAACAGGCTGCTGTAAAAAAAAATGAAGTTCGCCAAGAGATCATTTCAGCGCATGCGTTTTCTCCTCTGTGAGTTTAATTAAATCGGTCTGTGAACAGTTACACATCATTTCCTCAGCAGTTAATCGGTTATCGTTATTGATGGCAGCTACAGTAGACACAGGAGACAGGGGCGAACGGTGCAGTGACGTGCAGTGTTTGGCTCATGTTCACAGGAAGTGTGTATCGTACTGATGTCTTGTCCGACAGCACAGAGGTGCGTTCTGATCTTAATAAAGGTGTCACTCCGAGTGGTCCAGCTTGTTTCTGTGTGGTTATTTTATTCCTGAGCTGCTGAGCATTGAAAACTGTTTTTTTTCCCAGCACAGTTATAATGGGAATAGTTAATATCTGTGTCCAATTTTGCAACGTCAACTGTGAAATAACAACAACAACAACAATAATGATAATGATCACAATTATCATTATTATTGTCATAAATATAAATTATGTTGCTCAAACATATAACTCAGACAGATTTTCTGTGTTTTTCAGTGTATTTTTGAGTTTCCCCAGAATTGCGTAAGTGTGAAAGATCATGCAATGCGTGGTTTTCCACAAGCTTGTCACTTGTGTCAAAATGATTGCTGTCAGGTCTTCAACTCTAAAAAAAAAAAATTAGCCAGGATATAAAACTGTCACCAGACAATTTTTAGAGGTTGTTCTGAAGTTTTTTAAACACTTCATTTTCTGGACTGCCGCCGAAGAAACTCTGGTTCATGTTACTTTCAAAACCAAGCGTTTCTCTTTGGCACCCCTGCCCTACTGCAGACCAGCTGCTGGCCTTCCTTCAGCGACGTGGGCCAGGTGGCCACACGGCCTCCTCCAGTTTGTGACCAGTCTTGTGCCGCCATGGCGGCTGGCTCTGCGGGGACGCGGGAGGTGACAGACGTCGCTGGTTTCTCACAGCACATCACTGCCTGCGGCGGAGTGGGAGACTCGCGATTGCAGGAATCGTGCAGGGAAAGCGAACTCCCTCCCTCTCCCCGACTCGGCCCGATGGCCCACAGCTCGTCATTCTGAGCCCCAGAAAGGCACGTTGTTTCAGAATGCCCTTGCTGTTCCCTCAGACTGAAAGGAAAAGCAGAGAGGGGTCTCCCCGTCACGTTAACAATACCTAACTCGAGGCACATCTTTCCCTGAGCCAGCTGCTCCTGAAATTCCACCAAAAAGCACCCGGGCCGCCAGCAGAGAGAATCCCGCCCGCGTGTTTCGGTGAAGCCTGGCGCAGCCCGTGCGGCCCGCCGTGCCCTCGTGAGCTGCAGGGAATCCCAGGAAAGAAACGGAGAGCATGCAAATCTCCCCTTTCCCTGGCCAGAAAGACACGAAAGACACACCCCCCCCCCTTCACGCCGCAGAAAAAAAGAAGAAGTAGCAGAGCTGCTTTTAAACTGTGATCAGCAGCTGGGTGCAGAAGTGTGGTCACCAGCTTCCTGTTCTCTGGCTCCTGCGCAGCTCTGCTCAGAAGGCGAGGCGGAAGCACTCCGAAGCTCTCGGCTGTGGCGCGTGCACCTTCTTCTGTGCTTCTGGGAGCAGGGGAGGCGATTGCGGGCCTAGGATTTTTGGGGTTTCTACTTTGGGGGGCGGCCCCCCGTGTTTTCTTCAGGGAGCAGCAGGGGTGGACACCATGAGCCGCGGCGCCAAGCCTTCCAAGACGCAGGAGAGCTGCGGCAGCTCCCTGCTCAGCCCCCAGGAGAACGAGCGAGTGTTTGACGTGCTGGGCAGGAAGTGTGTGGTGAGTAGAGCCGGGTCTGTGTGCTGGGGCCCCGGCGGGGCAGCGGGGCGGCGGGGCGGTCGCCCCAGGGCCTGGGGGCAGCTGTGCGGAGGTACGTTGGGCAGCCCTGCGTGAGGGCTGCAGGAGGTAGTCTCCCGGGCCCCGCCAGCGCTCAGCTCCGCTCCGGATGAGTGGCACCCTGGCTGTCTGGACCCGACAGGTGCGAGGGTGCTCGACAGGTGGGGCCGGGTGCGACGGGCGGGCCGCTGCTCGCCAGGGCTGGGGAAGGTCTGAGGAGCGGTGCCCCGCGGGACCGGGCCCCGTGGTTCTGCTCAGCTCTGCTTGAGCCCCAGTCCGGCCGCGTCGCTTTCTCGAGGAGGGAAGTCAGAGCAGCTGCGCTGGGGCGATGCTCCAGCCTTGTGGAGACACAGGGGGACTGTAGACACAGGTCAGGACTGGCTGGCTCCCAGGTGCCCTGTCTGAAGCGCCTTCTGCTGCCCCCAGGTAACGCAGACAAGCCCTTTGCTTTGTAACTGGCACACACACTCCCATCACGCCTGGTACAGTGCCCCCGCAGTGCCAGCACCCAGCCAGCTCCGATAGCGCTCCTCCATGTTGTGATTGACCTGTTCCCAGAGGAACGAACCTGTCTCACAGGAGAGAGGCTGAGGTCTCAGGGCCGGTCTGATAGGTATCACCTGGGTCTCTGAGAACACTACCAGTAGAGCAGGGGTCAGCTGGTCAGGTGCTGCAAGTACTATGTGGAATTGCTTTTAAAATCAAGAACAGGTGGGTAGTTCTTTATACAAAGAGTTGTGGGAGTGTTGAACAAATCGCCCTGTAATGTTGTTGTAGCCGATACCCTGGTTTCTTTCCAAACAGAGCAGGACGAGATCCTGGGATCAATTAATCTATTACTAACGACCAATCAGGCTGGATGGGCTACATGGCTCTTCCTGTTTCTAGCTCATCTGCAGGTTTCAGCATGGCTCAGCTCCAAACGACTTAACTGGCCCAATCATTTTCTTCAGCACTGTAATGAAGATGCTTTCCTCAGTCATTCAGCTATAGGCTCGGCCTTTTTTTAACCTTCCTATAGGGCCGCAGTGCAGTGGCTGTAAAGCACCCCAGGTCTGAAGGCCC